GTATCAGCTCCTCATTTCCCCACTCCCTCCCCACTACCCCCTCCCTCATGAACCCTTCCTAATTCATAAATTATTATTTTGTCATATCTTACACTGTCTTCTAACTGTCCACAGTATATTCAGTATTCTTTGCTAATTTAACATATTTCTACAAAACGGAAAGTAGCAGAATCGATCATTTCACAAAATTGAGAGTGTCGCCTTAGAAAGTTCCTTTTCCTTTGTGCAGTGTTGGAAATTACACACCAGAAGCTCTGCTAACAAGAGCAGAGCAGGAGGAGGGAGGTAGAGTGGTGAAAAGACTTGATTTTGTGATGTCGTTCGGTTATGGTTTTGACCTTGGGCTTTGTACCATTGGGCATAATCCCCAAACCTCAGCTTCTTAGTTAAGCATCTGTGAAATGAAAACATACTGCCCTCAGTTCTATCTGGTTGTAAACATTATAAGAAATACTATGTAATTTACCTAGTCTTTTGCTGAGCCAATGAGTTTTCAGTGAATGATAATGATGGTTTCACATATGACTTGCTTTGTATCTACCTTAGGAGGTTGGGAAGGATAGTATCTTTATTTTTTTATGATTGCTTTCATTTGATTTGAGTCATCATTTTTTTCAAGCCCCATATCTGTGTTTATATGTATATACTTATAACTTAAAGAATTTCTTTTGATTAGTGCCATTGAGTCTCTTTGAACTATAGTCAATTCATGTGACAGAGTAGAATTTTGACTTGTAGGGTTTTCTAGGTCAGCCCTGCAGGGCAGGGGAGAACTGTCCCTGTGGGCTTCCCATAATGTAATTCTTTATGGAAGTCGTCAGAATGGACCGCCTGGCAGTGAGGTGGTTTTTATTTTGTCTTTGGTAAGTAATCTTTACACAAGAGCGGATTAGCAGATCTCCACCCCCTGGAGTCCCTGAGTGAGTTGAAGCTGCTTAACTAAACCATGGAAACCCTTTAGTTCGGAGCTGAGTGGTTAACCCACTGCCCCACGAAGGCTCCTTTTCCAAAGCAGAGACCTGCTCTGTGAGGCAGGATCAGTTTACTAAAGGAAATCATTGTGCTTGCTTGCCAGCCACTAGTATCTTCCTTTGACGGTTGGGTTCTCTGGCTTTTGCTTACTTGTTGCTTGGTAGTTTTGCGATGTGAAAGCATGACTCTCTGGCCCAAATCCACTTCCAACCATATCTTTAAAGTCCTATTCAAGAGTTTAGATTCAGTAGCCGGACTCTGTGCAGTTCATTTTGGACTTGTCGCTTCACTAGTGACAAAGTCACCCTCCATGGTTCTGACGTTGGAACGTTCAGCAAATTATTCAACTCTGTGCCTTAGTTTTCTTATATTTAAAATAAAACCTACGTGCTTTGAAAAGTTAGTGGGAAAATTCTATTTTCTAATTTCATTTTTCCACAATTTAAATAAAGTCCATTCATATGTTCTCAGTGTAGTTCTAAGGACTAAATGAATAAATATATATAAAATGGTTAGATTCAAAGTATGTTGTATAATAAGTCCTTATCATCACTGTCATTAACTATTATTGATAGCTTCCTCTTTTCAGTCATTGGTTAACAAATAGTTATTGAGTACCAACCACAGTGAAACATTTATAAACACAACATAGAAAACCACTGCCCCCCAAACTTACATTCTAGTGCAGAAACTGGCTAGTGAACATATGAAGCTAGGCAATAAGTCCCATAAAGAAAAAGAAAGACAGCAAATGGTCCCCAGGCCCATCTAGTTGATTGTGACTCCCAGCAACCCTGTGGGGCAGAGTGGAACTGTCCCGGAACCTTTTACGAAAGCAGACTGCCACCCCCACCTCTTACCCTCAGGGTGGTTAGTGGGTTTGAACTACTGATCTTTTGATTAGCATCAGAGTGCTTCACTACTACTACTACTACTACAACACCATAAGGGTTCTTTCAGCAAATAGAGAGGGCACTATTAAAATATTGTTCATTTTATCTTGGATCATGCAAATATCTGGAGATTGGGATAAATTTTGGGAAGTAGTTTGGAAGTAGAACTTGCTGATCTATATTGAATGTGAAGAATTTTGCAAATAATGGCACCATTCACTTTGGAAAGAGCAAACAAATATTCTGCTTTGGAAATGTTTGCTGAGCACCCAACTGGAGATGGGAGGGAGGCAGATCGATAGATGAATGAAGTTCAAAGGAGAGATCAGGACTAGAGATAAGAATGCAAACGTTCCTGTGTGTAATATATTTCAAGCCCCTGCACTTGATGTGTCAGTTTGGATAGTAAAGAAGAAAGAGCTAAGGATAGCCTAGGGGACTCTCCAGCATTTAGAGATTCAGCAAAGAGGACTTAGGAAGTAGCAGCTAGTGCGTTCTGGAGGACAAAGTGATGTCTGGAAGCCTAGTGAAGGCAGAGGGCAAGGGCGGAGGAAGGGATGCTCAGAAGCATGGCTGTATGAGAGATAAGGACTGAGAGTTGACCGAGGGTATTGGTGACTTTGATAAGAGCAGTTCATTAAAGTTGTAAGGCAAAAGCTGCACTCAAATGGGTTCAAGAGATCATGAAATTAAAGACGTTTAGGGAGAGAAGATACACCCCCTTCCAACATGAATTTATATAAAGGGGTAGTGAGTGAGTAGAGGGACCCAGGTCAACAGAGACTATTTGGAGGTGATTTAAGTAGAAAGAAGGAAACTGATGTGGAAAAGAGGAGGAATGAATATGCAAATGGAAGAGAGGGATTGGCATCCACTGTGAGGCAGGATAGATAGGAACATGGGCATGCCCACGCTCCAGCAGGACCGGCAGCTGAGAACATGGTTGGTGTGAAAGTACCCTTCTGAACGCGGCAGCTCTCCTCAGTGAAACCAGCATGGCATGCAGTGAGGGGAGGGCGGGAAGGGATGTTATAGATCTGCAGAGACAGGCGGTCTGAAATCATTCTCTCGGTAGGTGAGTGTGTGCACGAACTGGTGTGTGACATAGCTGGAGCCCACTTGAGGTGTAGCGTCATAAAGTATGAGTATTCAGCATGCTCGTAGTTGTTCATAACTACATTGGTCTGCTCAAGGATAGACACAGAGAGGTAATGTAGAGAGTTGAAGTTTTCTAAGGGGTGTTGGATATGTATAAGGGAATGATTCTAATGACGGGCCAGAAAATCTAAAATGGTTAAGGAAGGCAATAGAAGACATTAGGCTGCAGTTAACCCAAGCCTCTGTTGCTACTGGCCACCTTCAATTTCTTACCTCTGCCTGTGTTTTATGGAATATCCTTCTTTTTCTCCTTTCTGCACCACCACCCAAAATACATGCACAAACACACACATCCAAATGTATTGCTGGTTCAGGATGACAGGCATGCCATGGTGCAGCTTTCTTTCCTTTTTTAAATCACTTTATTAGGGGCTCAACCCATCCATCCATTGTGTCAAGCACCTTTGTACATATATATGTTGCCATCATCATTTTCAAAACATTTTCTTTTTCCTTGAGCCCTTGGTATCAACTCATTTCCCCTAACCTCCCCCACCAACCCCATGAACCCTTGATAATTTATAAATCATTATTTTTTCCATGTCAACACAAAACACTGTTTTCTGTTGCCCTTTCCCCTGGGAGGGGGCTATATGTAGATCATTGTGATCGGTTCCCCTTTCTACCCCACCTTCCCCTTCCCCTCCTGGTATCGCTGCTCTCCTGATTGGCCCTGAGGGGTTTATCATATGTTCATGGTGCATCTTTCTTGAAGTGTCCTTACCCCTAGTCAACAGTAATCTTCTTACCCACTTTGAGTTCTGATACCATTTTACCTTTCACTCTCTAATTGTCATGGATAGCTTGCTATTACAGTTTTGTGTATGTATTTTATGTCTTCTACCCTGTGGTGTGCCCAGGGACAGGGGTGGCCTTGTGTGCACAACATGCAGTACAGTTGACAAGTAGATCAGGGCAATCTCAAGTGCAACAATAGCTTCCACATTCCAGAGCCCTAGTGGAGGCCACTAAGTACTTCCTGGAGATTGCCTTCGGTCTCAGCTATCCCAGTGCCACACTGTCTTTTCTGTTCAGTGGCATGTGCAGTGCTCACTTGAAGATGGTATTGTTTTCACCACCATCATCATCATTTCCCACATTTATCTTACAGGAACATCTTTCCTTGAAGAAGTATATTGTTGACATTGTGGTTGAAAGTTCAGCTCCACCAGAGCCCGTGAAAGATGGAGAAGAGCGGCAAAAAAATAAGAAAAAAGCCAAAAAGATAAAAGCCCGGATGAACTCCAGGTACCTTAGAAACAAAAGAGGAACTTTGAAGGATGTATCCTTCTTGAATGTAAATTCAAAAACGACGAGGGGGGAAGTTAAAAGTTGTTTGCTTCAAGAAGCCCTTGGAAATAACACTGATGAGCTTAATTTATAGCCACTTTCTTTGATTGAGAAAGAAAACTGCATATCGATCTCAAGCCCTTGATTTCACCTGTTAAGAGCTCTCCTTATAATTGGATGTGCCAAGGCCTTGCCAAACTTATGCCTCCTCCAGCCTACAATAGTATGTTTAAGTATGTGTAAACTGAGCCTATTTTTCTTTCCAAATATTGATTTTTAAATGAAGTATCAAAGAAAATCAATAGCAATCAACAAATAGAAGTCGGCTGGCTGTAGTGTCAAATCCCATGACTAGGTTTAATCAATTTGGTTGCCTGTCACAACAAGAAAAAGTTAGAGAAATATCTTGAAATGGAAAGTGAGTTGTCAGACCTGTAGTTTATCATCGGCCTCCAAAGTGACATCTGAGGGTCAGGCATCTGTGTAGTCAGTGCATCGTTACCTCACAAGCTCCGGGCATCATCTGACGACCGGTGCGTTGTGTGTGTGTGTGGGGGGGGGCCCGCCGGGGACAAGGACATGCTGTTGAACTAATTGTCCCACTGAACACTGAGCCTGACCAATGGCAACAAACGGGATTCGAATAAGGCTCACTGCTGGAGCTGTTTCTCAAGGGTGTCTAAGCAGGATGGATTCCCCGTGCTCATTCCAGCAAAGACTGGACGAAGCTTTTTAAAAGTTCAGTTTTTGAAGCCCTTTGACCTTTCTGTCAAAGAAGAGTTTGACTGTAAACTGCAGGGTACTGACTTTTATTTCTAGTTCATATGAAGCATCTGTGGATCTCCCGACACTGGAGTGTTACAAAGCACTTTCCTCAGACCTCGTTTCTTCTCAGTGAACACATCACCCTAGTGAGCTCACCCAGTCTTAAAACATTAAATATCTTCCACTTGCCAATTTTGTATCTCTTAAGCGTACACAACCTTAATACTTCCAAGAAGGAGCCTGGGTTGGCCGCATAGTGTTTAAGCTCGCGGTCGCTAACCCCAAGGACTGCAGTTCAAACTCACCAGGTGCTCTGTGGGAGAGATGTGGCAGTCTGCTCCCATGAGGGGTTACATCCTTGGAAAGCCCTAGGGGGAAATTCTTTGTCACATGGGGTCTCTCTGAGTTGGAATCGACCCAATAGCAGCCCATCCGCAGTGGGTTTCCACTCACCTAACCTAAGCTCGCTGCCAGCAAGACGATTCTAACTCAGAGTGACTTTGAAGGACTGGGTAGAAAGCCTCATCTGTCTCCCTCGGAGTGGCTGGTGATTTCGTGTAACTACCGTGGTAACGGCATGGTAACTACCGTGTAGGTACCATGCCAGCAGCGCTCCTCAGCAGCAGGTTTAGTATGTCCAAGGCAAACGCCTCTCCACACTCCCAACCAACACTTCCTCCGCCCGTAGTCTGTTCTTCCTCAGTAAATGGCACCTGCCAAGGACAAAACCTGAAGTCTCTCAGTCTTTCTCCTCAGTAGTTCACATCCAATTCAACTAATAATAATACTAACATCACTTTAAAGTATATTCAGGATTGGCGGCTTCTGTCTAATTCCACTACTTAAACCACCCCCATCCAAACCTGCAGTCTCTTGCATCGGGACATGGCCTTGTCCTGTGTCTGGCCTGGTGCTTGGCAGTCTATTCGAAGTGCCCCAGCCAGGGTGAGCAGGTTCACGTTTCTTCCTAAAACCTCACAGCTCCGACACGGAAGCTCCCTCCTTCAGTGTACAGCCACACAGCTTTCCCTCCTTCCGTGTACAGCCACACCGCTGGCTCCTATAGCACTTTCCTGTCTTAGCTTCACTCTCACCTGAAGTCACGTCTTCCTGCAGAGCCTGATTTAGTTTTTTATGCGTAATTTAAAAAAATATTAAAAGTACCAATAGTTGTAGAGAAAAGCTTATAATTTGGATGCCAATATTTTGGCATATACATATTTTTATGCATTTAACTATTTTATGCATATATGTAAAGAAACTTCCAAAGGTTCATGGAAAATTCCATTACCATCTCATTTCATTTTTCCCACAAACTTTCTGAAGCCCCCCGCATACCTATATCTACAGATGTTTTTTCCCCTTGAGAAATGATTTACTTAAAAGTGAAGTGTTGAGTTTCGACAAATGCCAATACCCAGGAATCCATACCCTTTTCAAAACACAGGATTTCCGTGGCTCCTCAGTTTCTTGTGCCTCTTTGCCGTCAGCCTCCCACCACCTGGCCTGGCAGCCATAGATCTGCTTTCTGTCGTTGTTGATTGGCCTTTCCTGGTCTAGAAATTCATACAAGTAAAATTAAGAAGTCTCCTAGTGGCTGATTTCTTTGCTTAGAAAACTGTTTTTGAGATGTATCTGTGTTATTGCCTGCATCACTATTTTGTGCCTTTTTACTGCTGAGTATATCCATTGTGTGCTTACACCACCACAAGAAACCATTGTTCGTTTGTTGGCAGATATTTGGGTCTCAGCTGTTGTCATTGATAACTATCAGGCCTTAGTGTGGACGTGGGTTTTTATTTCCCTTGCATTTTAATTCCACCTATAAGTGGAATTGTAGAGCCCTTTTCCTGAATGGTCATACTGTTCTGTGTCCTTACTCGCAGAGAGCGTCAGTTCCACTGGTTCTGTAATCTCATCACTGCTTGCTATTGTCTCTTGACGACTTTTGGCCTTATTCTAGTGCGAGTACAACAGCCTCGTGTTCTGATGTTACTTCGCAGTTCCTTGGTACTAATAATATTTGAGCATTCAATGTCTTTTCTAAGTGTCTGTTGAAGAGCTTTTTTCCTTTTTAAAATGAAAAAAAAAAACCCCTTTATTTTGTTGAGAATGCTTATATGCACAGCAAAACATACACCAATCCAACCACTTCTGCTACAATTCAGAGACATAGGTTTGCTTACTTTAAACATTTTGTTCTCATTTTATTTCTGAGTTGTCTATAGAATTTGGAGATGCATCCTGTGTCAAACAATTGTATTATGATTTTCTTCTCCCTGTTTATAGCTTGCCTATCTATTTCCTTGATGATAGCTTTTCATAAGCAATTTTTTTTTCATTTTGAGGATATGTTTTACCAGTTTTTTCTTTTATGTTTAGTACTTCTTAGTTTTATATTTATATTTGTGTGTGTATATATGCACACATGCATATACATTTAAGTGTGTTTCTGTTTATAGATTCTCTATTCTGTTTCTTCGATCTACTTGTGTGAATTTTGTTTCCAATTTTGTCTTTGGATTATTTGTTCATTTCCAGCCCATTGATGTGTCAATCTGGCTTCATGGCCATGTTGTTCTTGTAAGTGCTGTCAAGTCAGCTCTGACTCGTAGCGACCTTCCGTACCACAGACTGAAGCCCTGCCCAGTCCAGTACCATCCTCACAATTCTTGCTATGTGCGAGGCCATTGTTGCCACCACAGTGTGAGTCCACTTCAGGGAGAGTCTGTCTTTTCTCTGACCCTCTACTTTATCAGACGTGAAGCATTGTTCCAGGGAATGGTCCATCCTCATAATCTGTCTAAAGTATGTGAGATGAAGTCTCACTGCTCTTCATTCTAAAGAGCATTCTTTTTTTTTCTTTTCTTTTAATCATTTTATTAGGGGCTCATACAACTGTTATCACAATCCATACACACATCAATTGTGTAAAGCGCATTTGTACATTCATTGCCCTCGTCATTCTCAAAACATTTTCTCTCCACTTAAACCCCCGGCATTAGGTCCTCATTTTTCCCCTCCCTCCCCGCTCCCCCCTCCCTCAT